TGTGTGTGTGTGTGTGTGTGTGTGTGTGTGTGTGTGTGTGTGTGTGTGTGTGTGTGTGTGTGTGTGTCTCACAGATTTCAGCTCCTGTTTAAAGATTCCTGATCTGTTTTATCGGATCAGGATCCAGGAGAAGGTGTGTGAGGCAGAACCGCTGCAGCTCAGTGATCTGTTCAAGGACGCCTGGATGGCCTGTTCTGATCCGGTCCGGTCCGAGCTGCTCTGCCATTTTGTCAAGAAAATTCTGGTTTGTTGTCAATAAAGCAGCTGAATCTGGAGCGACACGTCGGAAACTGACTTCAGACTGAAACCAGACTTTAAAGGTTTATTTATGTAAAACAAGTTTGTCTCTGTGGAACCAGGTCCGATTCAGGTCCAGTCTGAAAACATTTCACCAGAACAAACACTGCCTGTGTTAAATAAGTCCTGTTTTAGTTTGGTCTTTTCTTTAAATCTGACCCATAAAACTGAACCTGTCAGGTTTCTTCTCCTGGACATTATTCCCTCCACCTGTTTATAAACTGTAAACAGCTCCAGCCTCGACTCGTGGACTCGATTCTGTCAGAGGTGGTCCAGAATCCTGAGAAAACCATCAGTTACAAAGTAAATCAGCTGAGAATCTGACTCACACAGGTGACATCCATCCATCCATCCATCCATCCATCCATCCATCCAACAATCAACCAACCAACCAACCAACCAACCATCCGACTAACCATCCAACCAATCAATCAACGCAACAGACCATCCAACCATCCACCCAATCAATCAACTATCCAACTATCCATCCAACCGTCCATCCAACAATCAACCAACCAACCATCCGACTATCCATCCAAACAACCAACCATCCAAACAACCATCCAACCAATCAACCCAACAGACCATCCAACCATCCACCCAACCAATCAACTGGCCAACTATCCATCAAACCAACCAACCAACCAACCATCCATCCAACAATCAACTATCCAACCATCCAACCAATCAATCAACCCAACAGACCATCCAACCATCCACCCAACCAATCAACTATCCAACTATCCATCCAACCAACCAATCAACCAACAGACCATCCAACCATCAATCCAACCAATCAACTATCCAACATCCATCCAACCAACCATCCATCCAACCAATCAACCAACCAACCATCCAACCAACCAGCCATCCAAACAACCAGCCATCCAACCATCCATCCATCCAACCAATCAAACAACAAACCAACACACCATCCAGTCAACCAACCAACCAACCATCCAACCAACCAACCATCCATCCAACAATCAACTATCCAACCATCCAACTATCCATCGAAACAACCAACCATCCAAACAACCATCCAACCAATCAGTCAACCCAACAGACCATCCAACCATCCACCCAACCAATCAACTATCCAACTATCCATCCAACCAACCAATCAACCAACAGACCATCCAACCAATCAACTATCCAACATCCATCCAACCAACCGTCCATCCAACCAATCAACCATCAAAACAACCAACCAACCAACCAACCAACCATCCAACTATCCATCCAACCAATCAACCATCCAACCAACCAACCGACCATCCAACCAACCAGCCATCCAAACAACCAGCCATCCAACCACCCATCCATCCAACCAATCAAACAACAAACCAACACACCATCCAGTCAACCAACCAACCAACCATCCAATCAACCATCCAACCAACCAACCAATCAACCAACCAACCAATCAACCAACCAACCAACCAACCAACCAATCAACCAACCAACAGAGTGACTGACTGTCCAACCAAACAACCAAACAACCAATCAATCAATCAATCAATCAATCAATCAATCAATCAATCAATCAATCAATCAATCAATCAATCAATCAATCATCCAACCAACCATCCATCCAACCAATCAACCAACCAACCAACCAACAGAGTGACTGACTGTCCAACCAAACAACCAACCAACCAATCAACCAACCAACAGAGTGACTGACTGTCCAACCAACCAACCAAACAACCAATCAATCAATCAATCAATCATCCAACCAACCAACCAACCAACCATCCATCCAACCAATCAATCAACCAACCGACTGACCAACCAACCACTGGAGAAGCTTAAAGAATATTCAGGTCCAGACCTGTCCCCCTTCTGAAGGAGGCCCAGGTCCAGACCTCTCCCCCTGTCCCCTGCTAAAGAAGGCCCGTGTAGACCCTCTGGACTTTGCCAGAGAACATCTAAATGACTCAGAGAGGGTTCTTTGGTCAGATGAGACCAGAATCCAAGTCTTTGGTGTCACCTTGACCAGCTGTATTTGTAGGAAGAGAAATAAAACCTGAAGGACACCATCCCTACTGTTAGGTATGGAGGAGGGAACATTATGGTTTGGGTCTGTTTTTCTGCTGAGGGTACAGGACAACTTCACTATGAGGGACTAACGAATGTGACTGGGACCAGGACCGGGACCAGGACCCAAAACACAGAACATGTGGAGGAGCTGAAGCTTCATGTTTCCAGCACCCAAGAAAACAAAACATTTTAGTTTCTGTAAGGAGGAGAAGACCGAAGTCCCTGATGAAATCTGGAGACCAAGAACTGATCCAGGTTTGACTTCAGGACCTCTTATTTCCATCAATGACGACTTTATCTGTTTTTCCTGTGGGCATTTTTTTCTGATTTGTTTCATGAAGTGAAACTAAAATTAAGGACAGATCAGTCGAAACAGAATCAGCAGCTCATTATTTCCAAAAAGTCCAGAGAAACTCTCCTTTACAGCTTTGTTTCTCTGGTTCTGCTGATTGTGCAGAACCAGAACCGGTTCTGACTCCTCAGACTGAGATCAGTGTTCTGTTTGCTTTAAATAAGCCGCATCCTGTTTACCGGATCAGCAGCAGCATCCAGAACCATCTCCTGTTGAATGTTTGGACTGTTTTAACCCGAGCCAGGAGGCGTGATTCTGACGGGCCTGCTGAAGGTTTCATGACCCGCGGGCCCAGAACCAGGCTAACTTTAATGGATCAGAGATTAAAAACTCAGACTGAGTGGAAACAGCTTCCTGTTTGTAGGAAAATACTGATTCTACATCTCTTCACTTCAGATGACGAGTTTCTGGTTTTAAAAGGATTTCAGAACCGATCTGTTGGATTTTGACTTTTCTAGTTTGTTTTAAAAACAGAAAAAGCCTCAGCTTTAGACTCCGTGATGATGATGATGATGATGATGATGATGATGATGATGATGATGATGATGATGATGATGACGATAAAGGATAAGGAGCCCAGGCTGAAATAAGTGATGGACCAAGAATAAATGCATTTAAAGCTTCAGTCAGACTCTCTGCTGTTACCAGATGTAATAAAAGGTGCTGAATCAGTGAAACAGGACCCCACATTGATCTGAGGAGGTTCTGTTTCAGACCCGAACAAACCCAGAGTTCTGCTGTTTGTCTCTGACCCAAACGGACCAGTCCAGCAGCAGAACTCTGCAGCTGTTTATAACGATCCGTTCTCTGAGACGTGATGTCCGTGTAAAGAGACAAAATGTCCAAAACAAAGCCGAACAACCTGAGACGAGTTCTGAGGAGCAGAGACACAAAGGTTCTGTTCAACTCTGACAAGAACCTGCAGGATTGTTTGATGGATGGATGGATGGATGGATGGATGGATGGATGATGATGGATGGATGGATGGATGGATGGATGATGGATGGATGGATGATGGATGATGGATGGATGGATGGATGGATGGATGGATGATGATGGATGATGGATGGATGATGGATGGATGGATGGATGGATGGATGATGGATGGATGGATGATGGATGGATGATGGATGGATGGATGATGGATGATGGATGGATGGATGGATGATGGATGGATGATGGATGATGGATGGATGGATGGATGGATGATGGATGGATGATGGATGGATGATGGATGATGGATGGATGGATGGATGGATGGATCGATGGATGATGGATGGAT